TTCAAGAGGGATAAATGTAAAGTCTTACACTTGGGCATGAGAAAGTCAACTTAGCAAGTACATGATAGGAGAGACCTGCTTAGGCAGCTGTGGTTCTGAAAAAAATCTAGGGGGTTTTAGTGACCTATAAGCCCCGGATGAGTCAGCTGGAGAATGGGGCAGCCAAAAAGTTCATTTGATCTTGGGCTGAATTAAGAAGGCACAGCTTCCAGGAATAGGGAAGTGATAACAAAGATAATTGTTAAATTTTCAGTGTGAGCACTTAGATCACAAAAATCAGCAAATGCTACATACTGGGGCTTGGTCTTTTTTTTTTTTTCCTTTATTGATGTGTAGACTTAAGAAATTGATGGAGAAAATGGTAATAAAATTTATGCTCGTAAGTTATGGTCAAATTACTAATTAAGTTAATTATAAACAAGTTATTATTACCATTATAATTTATAATATAGCATAATTAAACTTAAAAGTGTGCTTTTCATGCATTTCCCTCCCCTCCAGAGGACTGGTTGTTAAACATTTACCAGCATACCCCTGTGATAGCCCCACTGAATGCTGCTGTTGTCAGACTGCATCTGATACATTGTGTTCAATTCTGGGTACCATGGTTTGTGGAGAATAATAATTATCATTCTTAACATTTGTTATATATAAAGCAGTGCTTGCTATATGTCTGGCACATTGTAAGTGCTTTACAATTATTATTCTCTTTTGATCCTCACAACAATCCTGTGAGGTAGGTGCTATAATTAACCCCATTTTACACATGAGGAAACTGAGGCAAACAGTGGTTAAGTGACTTGCCCAGGGTCACACAGCTAGTATGTGTCTGAGGTCATGTTTGAATTCAGGTCTTCCTGATTTCCAGCCTGGGGCCCTATCCACTTGGCCACCTAACTGCCCCAGAGCAGCATGACTGGATTGGTGAAAGGACTGAAATTCGTGTCTTATGAGAATAGGATCAAGAATTGGCAAGTTTAGCCTAGAGTAGAGAAGATTTGGAAGGAATCTGATCAAGGCCTCAAAGTACTTGAGGGGCTGACACACGGAGGCCAGCTGACACTGGCCCTAGAAGGTAGAACCAGGGCCACATGTGGGAGCTGCCGAGAGTCCAAGTGAGGCTTGATTTGGGAGGGAACACGGCCAACAGTGAGAGCTGTCCAGTGGTGGAAAGGCTGCTGGAGAACATGGCGGCTTCTTCCCACCTGCATTTCTTCAGACAGTGTCTATGTGGCTGTTTCTCAGATGCGTTATAATGGGAATTCATTTTGTATATAGATTGGACTTAATGGCTCCTTTCAGCTCTCAGAATTTGTAATTCTGTGATTTTTATCTCTTTGGGCCAAGCTGTTTCAAATTGCAAAGTGTGTAAAATAGCATGAAGCTGATTTTCTCACGTGAGAATTGAAGGAGATCACATATATGGAAATGCTTTGGAAAATGCCAGCTAGAATCCGGGGAAGCCAAATTGGGCTGAACAAACATGGGGCAGCTGGAAGAGTGATCGAAAGACTGGAGACGGAGGGACCAGGAGAGGATATGTGGGAGGGAGGGAATCCCAGGAATGGTCTAGAATAACAACAATAGCTGATATTCCTGTAGTACCTGGAGGTTTCCAAAGGACTTTATGAGAACTGATGGACTCAGAATGCAGATCAAAGAATAATTTTATTCTTTCTTGTGGTTTTATTTTTTTTATCTGTTTCTTCTTCCATAACTGTGACATATATGGAAATATGTTTTATGTGATAGCACATGTATAAACTGTATCAAACTGCCTACCTTTTTCAGAAGAGAGGAGGGGAGGGAGGAAAAAAGAAAAATTAGGAACTCAAAATTTTGTAAAAATGAATAATAAAAATTTTTCTTAATATATAATTGGGGGGGGGAATAAGATACTATTTAAACAAAGGATTTTATGCTCCTTATCTTGTTTGATTTCCAATCAACTACAGGGTTTAGAACAGGAAGAGCTCTCCTTCATTTTACGGACGAGAGCCAGAGAGGTGAGGGCCAAAGTCACGTTGAGAATGAGTGGCAGAGAGATTGGAACCCAGGTCCTTTGACACCAATCCAGCATTTTGCCCACTGCACTGACCTTCCCCACCATGAAGCAAGGGGTGGGGGCACAGGGTTTAGTGAAGAGAATGCTGCACAGGGAATTAGGAAGGCCTGGGTTCAAATCCTGCCTTAGATACTTGCTTGCTGAGGGCTCTTGGGTAAGTCTCTCTCAGGCCTAGTTTTCTTATCCTTAAAATGGAGAAGATAATACCGCTTACTTCACGTGATTGTTGATCAGGTGCAATGAGAAAATATACATAAAATGCTTTGCAAACCTTAAAATGCTATCTAAATCTTAGCTCTTTTTGATAATAATTCAATTCAGCCAACAAGTGCTTCCTGCCTGCAGAGCACTGTGCTGGGCATCGAAGGGGATGTGAGGTTTACATTAACCTCTGACCTTATCCCTGAAGAGAAAACAGTCTTCCGTACTAATAATCCCAATGCCTACACTGCTTAAAGGTTTAGAAAGCAGTTCATAGTCAGGCCCCTATGAGGTGCATAGTGCAAAGATGATTGCACCCATCTTGCAGATGAGGAAAGTGGAGCCCAGAGAGGCGTTATCTGCTACCCAACCCCTAGAGGTAGGAAAAGAGAAGCTGGTCTGTTTCTTGTCTTGTTCTGGGCATCGGGAGTCCCTGGCTGCTCGTCGTGCCCCACCCGCAGCCCCCGGGGGTGACAGGTAACCTAACTGCTACCCAGCACCCCGTCCCTCCTCTCCCCACAGGCAGTCCTTCAGCCTGTGTTTTGAGCTCTCTTCCATTAGAGGGCAGCACCCGCCAATGTCAGAGATGGGAAGCCAGCTGAGGGCTTGGCTGCTAAGGCTATGTTGGAAGAATCAGCAAACGGACCAGAAGAAAAGGATGACGCCCCCGAGGCCCTCGGAGCCTTGGGCTTTGAGACGACCTCCTTGGGTGCCCCTTTGGAAAGGGGCGTCCCTGTGTCGTAGTTGGAGGAGAGGCTGGGGGACGGAGCCGAGACGACGGCCGGGAATCCGGACCCCCCGGTCCCAAGCATTGGGCCCTGAGAGGTCAATCTGGTCCAACACCCTCATTTGAACAGATGTTTAAACCGAGGCCCAGGAAGGCTAGAGCTGCCCAGGGTCAGGCAGGCAATCATTGTCTGAGGCGGGATTCGAACCCAGATCTTCTGGCTCCGGAGCCCAGGGTTCTTTCCAGTGTAGCAAGGTGGGTCCCCTCCCTGGGCCTCTGGGTTTGGACCAAATGACCCTCAAGGTCCCTTCTAGCTCCGGACGCAGAATCTCGACAATCATGATTCCTTACAGGCCATGCTGCATTTGTCCTCGCTGGGGCATCTCGATGTGGGACCCCCCCATGCCTTTGGAGCAGAGGCCTGGGGAAGCCTGGGGGGTACCTGCTTGGGGACACTCATCCGCAGAATTCCTAAATCCCAGGGTAGGAATGTAGCCCAACCTCTCATGTAGCAGTAGAGGAGGCTGGCCAAGACTGCCCTGGCACTAAGTGGTGGAGCTGAGACTCGAACCCAGCTCCCCCAGTGAGAAGGTTAGGGTGTTTTCTGCATCCTCCTTCCCACACTCCAACACGTGTTCCAAGGTGGTCCACCTGCTGAAGTTCAAGCTCAAAGAGCTGGCCCAGTCTCCCAGCTTGTATGAGTAAAGGAAGGGGACACTGCTTCCTCAGGGTGCCCTGCTCAACTCAGGGAATTGCCCTCCGCTCAAAGGTGTGGAGACAAAGTGCCCCCTTCTGGTTCCCAGCAGCCATTGCGCCCAAGTGGACTGACCCCTAACGGGAAGCTCAAGCTTGAGTATTTGAGGTAAAAGGGCCATGGACTGTGTCCTCTGCATCCACCAAGAGAATTCAGGAATTCCCTGCCTTTCCCAGGGTCCTCGTCCTTCATCAACCTTCAGTTAAGATGGATGTTGGAACTTGGGTCAGCTCATGGCTCCAGTGGCCAGAAAATGAATAACAAGAAGGGTAATCAATCAATCTGCATTTATTAAGCACCTACTATATGTGAGGCAGTGTGCTAGGGACCCAAAGATAAAAAAGGAACACTTCCTGCTGCCCTCAAGAAGCATATGGAGACATATTTGTACATATTTAAATTTCTATAGAAGATATGTAAAATAAAATCAAGGAAGGTTGGGGAGTGAGGGTGCTCCCCAGAAGCTGAGGGTGGGGTGAGGAAAGGCTTCTTGTAGAAGATGGCCCTTGAGCTGAAGGAAGCAAGACATTCTAAGAAGTGGAGGTGAGGAAGGTGGGCCCTCTAGGTATTGGGAACAGCCAGGGCAAAGGTACAGAGGTGGAAAATGGAGTGTGTGTGTGAGAAACAGCAAGAAAACCAGTTTGGCTGGACTGGAGAGTGCAGTATGAGGAATAATGTAGAACAGAGATAGAATGGTAGGTTGGAGGCAGTTGGAAAGGGCTTTGGAGGCTCTGTCCAGGGAAGTCAGGCCTGCACTCTAAGAAGATGGACCGCAGCAGGATGGAGGATGGACTCGAGGGAGGCCAGGAAGGAGGATCTTGAACTAGGGGGGTGCCCTTGGGAGCAGAGAAAAGGAGTCAGAGATGTTGGGATCCTCCTTCGCTTTTCAGAAGTGGAAACAGAGGCCAAAAGTGGGGAAACGACTTGGGTATAGTCACATTTAGCACACGGTACGTGGCCCATAAGAAGCATTTAACCCACGCCTGTTGAATGTTGACAAGTAAGGAGCAGAGGCAGGATCTGGACCCATCTCCTTCTGTCCCCCCCCCCACTCGGATATTTCCTTTTCCCCTGGGTCTCTCTCCCCTTGCACCATCCTGGCCTCTGCCTCTTGGAGCAGCTCAAATCACTTGGGTCTCTGGGGCAGCTGCGCAGTGCAGCTTGGGGGTTCCCGTATGTCACCAACCCAGCTTCCTGGAGACCAAAACCACAAGCCAGAGAGCGAGAGGCATGAGAAAGAGACTGAGGCAGAGAGTGAGTGAGCGAGCAACTACGGAAAAAGAGGAAGAGAGTGACAGAGAGAGTGAAGGAGAGAAAGAAGGGAAAACGAGGAGAGGAAGGAAGGAAAGGGCTCATCGCTCCTCAGGATGGTTCATCTTTCCGGCCTGTGTGGATGACTGAGCTGCGACCAGACATGCTGCTTCTCATCGCCGTCATTGGTTGCCTGACAGCTGCTATCTCAGGTACCCAATTCTCCTGGGTTTTCTCTCCCTTTGCGCCCATCACCTCATGCTCCAAAGTTGTGTGTGCCCTTGCTCGTGACTCTCAGAGGATAAGACAACGGGGCTGGTTTGTCGAGCGTCCTAGGACAGCAGCCACCTTAGATGGTCACAGCGCAGCCTGTCCTCTGCCCCACTGTGAGGGACCTGGGGAGAAGGGAGGCTTCGAGACTCCTGTGTGGCTAACTTCCCTCTTCGGCGGGTTTTGTACGTTCTCTTGGGAAGTGACATTCTACTCCAGGGAGAAGAAAGGTCGGGCAAAGTCCTAATGGGAGCTGGACCGTGGGGGGGTTCCAGATCAGTCATGGGCTGGCAGACGCCCCATCCCCACTGCTGACCCTCAGCAACTTAGCACCAAGGGGCCACCTGCTCACGGCAAGGGCCGGGGACTCCCCCAGGATAAGTCCGAGACCCAAGGCAGACTTTCTTAGGGAAGAGGAAGAGACAGGAAAAAATGACTTTCCCTTATCCTGCCCCTCTTAGGAATAGCTCTAGTCTGAATTTAACCTGGCCACCTTGGGGCCTAGAAGGGAATGATAATTTATCTTTTGGTGTGGAAAAGATTCATTTGCCTACCTGAGGAGGGTGCCTGCCCCTTGCTTTTGCTCTTCTTGGGGGCCGGATCGGTTGTCAGGCAACACAAGTTTTCTGGGTTGGGCTCCATCACCGTCCCTGAGCTGAAGCAGGCAGACAACACCTTGCCCTATCCTCCCTCAATACCTCCCAGTCCCTCACTCTTGTCCTGCCCCTTTTCCATGGGAGGAAGCTCCCTGCTTATTATTATTATTATTATTGTTAGACCTAGCTGTACAGAAGGTGACATTTGAAAGAAGGGAAATATTGAAAAAAAGGCAAGGGAGAGAGAAACCTGGGAGAGGAGAGAGCAGTACCAAGGGCTTCCCTTGGCTGGCCTGTCCAGGGAGGGTGGCACAGACGCTGTGGCTCAGAGCTGGGAGGTGGTCCAAAAATACTAGTAACAACAATAGCAATAGTAGTAATAGTAAAAATGCTAACAATGATGGCCCTCTTGAAGGTTTACACAATTCTTTTTACCTTAGCCGAGAATATATTATCTTTTTTTTGGATAACATTTGTTCTCTTTATCTTTCTTCTCCATATATATGTTCGTATATGTATCTGTTGTCTCCTATGTTGGAACAGAAGCTTCTTGAGGGCAGGGACTGTTTTAGTTTTGTCTTTGCATCCTTAGCTTGTAGCGCAGGCCTGGCCCAGGGTAGGTGCCTAAGAAATACTTGGTAACTGATTGTATGACCCTAGTGGTCATCTCTAGCCTAATGGTGCTCGCCCTTTCCGTGTATGAGGACCTCTTTTTAATTTCAAAAAATTTCATGAGCCCCCACTGAATGTTAGGTGTACTTTTAGTGCCTGCCGATAGAGAAAATACAAAAGGACAAAAGGTGAAGGGTCCTTCTGATTATAGATAGACTGTAGACTACGGTTGGCCGTGGGTTGACCGCTGAAAGGTTGGGAACCCTTGTCCACTTTAAATCCACCATTTTCAGGGCTGTTAATGAGGTTCGGGAGAGCCTGCGTCACACAGGGCCTAAATTATAAGGATAGGATCTAAAATTCTCTGGCTGGAAGATGTAGGTCTCTCTTTGCTCCTCCTTTCTGAAAGAGACAATGGAGGGCCTCGGGGAGAGGGGGACTTCAAGATGGAGAGGCAGCATGGCGTGGGGGCCCAGAGCAGAGTCAAAAGCCTTGGGTTGGAATCCTGGCTCTGCCACTTTTTTGGCTCATGACCTTAAGTAGGCTCCTCCATTTCTCTGCCTCAATTTCTTCCTCTATAAAATGGAGTCAAGAAGTCCTCTAGACCCTTCTAGCATGTGAGGGGACTTATCCTGCCTGAGCCCTAGGATCACAGGGGTACCGAGTGGCAAATCTCAGAGCCGGGACACTGACCCGGTAAGATCTGGGGCCTCTCCAGTTACTGCTGATCCTGCCTCGCCCCTCCTGCTCGCTGCTTCTCCCACAATACAAGACAAATGCCTCGGAAATATTCTAAGACAGTCCTTCTGGGCCCCTGCTTTAAGTGATAGCTTAATGGATTTGGTGACCCTTACGGAGTGGGCAGAGAGAAAGAGTCTGTTCTTAGCAGGGACCAGCATTCATAGCAGGATGGAGGCAGACAGGGCAGATCCAATCTGCAGGCCTGGGGTTTGTTTTTGCCAACTACGTGTCTTCACTTTGGGTGGAAGTAGGGACAGAGGGCTCTGAGTGAGAAAAAAAGGTAGAAGGTGTATCTTGTGATAGGAGCCAATTGTGTGTGTGTGTGTGTGTGTGTGTGTGTGTGTGTGCACGCCTGTGTAACAAGATTGGAGTAGAAACATCCCCAGCATGTGTCCAGAGGGAGCAGGAACAGAGAGGCACCAGCTAGGGAGGAATGGGGGATTCAGGCTTCTCTGCGGGAGCCGGGTCTGAAGCCCCTCCAGCGTATACAGGGTTACAGAAAACAAAACTAAAAGAGAAAACAGCTCCCAGCCATTCCATGACATATTAGGAAGAAGCAACTTCCATGATAAAACACTGTCCAGGCTGTCTAATACAGGCTGATCAGCCCCCTCGCTGGGTTAGGGGGCATAGAGGGGCCAACCCAAACTGGTCCAATCTAATGAGCGTTTATTAGGACCCACCTAGGCCCCAGGCCTTGCAGCTGCCACACTCTATCTCCCCCCTCCTGGCCTTTGCAGTCTGCTCCCCACACCTGTAGGGCTTTCCCTACTCCCCCAAATCTCCTGGAATCTCTGGCTCCATTCCACATCCCCCAGGAAGCCTTCTAGGCACAAACATTCTCCTGTTGCCCCATCCCCTCTGTACTGAAATGACTTTCTATTTCCATGATATATATATTTTTGTATTTATTTATCTATTTGTGCATTGCTTCCCCAAAATCCACCCACCCAGTTGACTATAAGCCCCTTGAAGGCCAGGATTCTTCTGCCTTTGGGGCCTAGGGCATAGTAGGCACTCAGTAAAGGCGTGTTGCATCGAGTTGGGTAGTACCATTTGTAACCAAGCCCTAGGATCCCCGACCTCAGTCTTTGCTAGCTCTTTAAGAAGCTGTCATCTGCTTTCTGTCCTCCATTACTCCACTCTCCCCCAACCATTCACTCCCCATCTTTCCACTCAGCAGGCCTTGGCCCCCAGGGGACATGTCTCTTTCCTGCCTGGACTCATATGGTCTCTATTTTGAATTTGTATTTTTGCCCTGGAGGATCGAGCTTTCTTATGCATCTCGTATCCCGGGTACCACCTACCTCCTGGCCTTGTTTAGCAGACACTCAAAACGAGTGGGTTGAATTTTAATTTTCAAATGGGGATGGGGTGAGAGGAGATCATAGCTGAGTGATGAGGTAGCGATGAGAAGGAGTGATCAGGCTTCTCTCTGAGAAGGCTCACAGGTGAATGAATCTCTGGTACTGGGACCACCCAGGACTAACTTGTCTCCTTAACTACTTACGGGACCTGAGCTAAACCACTCACCCTCTCTGAGCTTCAGTTTCCTCACCTGTAAAATGGAGAGGAGCCGAAAATATTTGCCTTCCTTGCCTTATAAGGCTGTTGTAAGGAAAGTGTTTTGTAAGCCTCAAAGCGATATAGAAATATGTGTTGTTACTGTTATTGTACCTCAGTTTCTCTGACAGCTGGGGAGAAGATGTAGCCTCTTCCTGGCTAGAGCTGTGCTGGGGTTAACACTGGCAGACAGGAGGGCTGTGGAGGACTTCACAGATACGTTGCTATAATAATAAAGCAACCTTGAGTGATGAATGGCAAAAAAATAATCATTAATGAGGACGGTGATTGGGACTTGTTGGGCAGGAAGTGTTTGGTGCAGACCTTGTCACATGGAATGAAAGCTTCTGCTTTTTCCTTTACAATCCCTCCTACCTGCTCCTATGCAAGATTATCATACTTCCCCCAATTTTACAAATGAAGAAACTGAGGCTCAGAGAGGTTAAGGGAGTAGCCTGAGCTCACGTGGCTAGTTTAGGGCTCGGTCAGGTAGAATTTGAAGCCTGAGTTTCAGCCCACTCTATGCCATCTGCCCGGAGATTTCCCCCAGGTTTGTAAGTCTCCTGATTGAATTCTGAGCCCAGAAAGCTGCCAGGCCTTTGCCTGCTGGCCCTAGAGGTGCTCCCCACGTCTGGTGGGTATCTGAGGTGACTGGGAAGGAAACGGCAGTAGCTTTGTCACCTCTGAAACTTAACCTTATGACCAGGCACCCCCAGAGCTTGATGGACCTGAGGACCTTGTGTGAGCGGGCAGTTAAATCTAGGTTCATTGTGGAGAGAAAGGCGAGGGTAAGAGCATCTAGATTCTCCATACTTGACACAAATTTGGGCATCGTGAAAGATCCCATGAGAACACTGTACAGAGTAACAGCGCCATTGTGTGATGACCCACTTTGTTAGACTTAGCTCTTGTGAGCAATGCAAGGGTCTAAGACAGCTCCAAAAGACTCATGATGGAAAAAGCTGTCCACATTCAGGGAAAGAACTATGGAGTCTGAGTGCAGATCGAAGCAGATGATTTGCTCTTTCTTTTGTGATTTTTGTTTTTTCTTTCTCATGGTTTTTCCCTTTTGTTCTGATTCTTCTTTCACAACATGACTAATGTGAAAATATGTTTAATATGATCATACATGTATAGCCTATGCCAGATTGTATGCCATCTTGGGGAGAGGGGAGTGGAGGGGGGTGGAATTTAGAACTCAAAATTTCATAAAAACAATGTTGAAAATGAAAAATTCATTCATTCATTCATTCATGAAAAGAAAGAAATATCCCATCAATGGAATTAAAGTTACCTTGTTCCCACTCCATGGGACGTTGGGCCGTCTATGAAAAAAATATATTATTTATAGGGCAAATAGTGTCAGAAATCGTATTTTCTGGCAAGGGTTCCTGAGCCATCGTGAACTCTAAAGGTCCAGGTGAATTGTC